TGTACAAATTTCTACCCACGCTTTAATAACTAAATTCGCTCAGGGAAAATTTTTTTGGCAGTCCTACCCGCTCTGTGAAATTGAGATTTCGGGTTATTATCCCTCCCTCTCCCCATAGAACGGTTTTGTTAAGACGTAAAATTCTACACATGAGATCATACGAGGGGCTTTGTAGGCGCCGGTATCAAAATTTAACATACGTGACACCGCCACTTTTAGATGAAAACCTATATCTCGAAAATGGACGAAATCAGATAAAATCCTAAGTAGTCTGCGACAATTTTAAGATCCATACGATTCTTTCTCTTTCCAGCATACAAATCAAACACATTCGCATTGCTAACTTTTTATCGGAAACATTATTCAATCTGTAAGATATATTATAAGAAATCCAGAGAGAATAGTTTCTGATAATAGTATGCCTACAGGTCAAAAAAGGTTCTTTGTAATTTTTATGTTTAAAATTAAAAATTGTCCGCTGAAACTTCTAAAACCCCTTAAATTTAGTTTTAAAATTTTTTACTGTTTATTATAATATTGTTAGTATAGAAATATAATGTACAACATTTCACAAATATGTATACTATATATGTAAAATCATTTAAACATACGGTGTTGAACTCAGTCCTATATAAACTAGTGAATTTTATTTTCAAGCTTATAGTGAAGATATTGATATTTTATAAAAAATATTTTTATATAATAATATAAGTAATATTTCATTTAAATGAGTAAATGCACATATTAATTAAATTTGTAGCAAAAAATTCTTTGTGGTGCCATCGTTAGCGTTTATGACACTTTTAATTCTTTTTTGGATGGATTCATATAAAGCGGTTAAATATTCGGCGATTACTGCTTTGAAACAAACGACGTCAACCGTCTTCTATTATTTGCTTTAACTCAACTTTTGTTTAGGGTTTCGTTTTGCGCTTTTTAGGGTTTCTTACAGACAATTCGTTTTGACGACGACTGAGCTTAATGATCAATCCAATTTAGTAATAACTGAATTTTCCTTTAATTTTCCAAACTGAAATGCAAAACTTACCGAGCGGGTGCGCAAACAAATTGAAGAATTATAAAAACTAAGGCTTGGATCACGCAACTGGATACCCCCCTTCCGTTACAATATTTTTATACTCTTGCAACCAATTGCTGCAGTGTGCAGTGGGCAAACATTTTTTGAAAAGTAGGCGTTGCCCCGTCTTTAACAAGTTTATTGTACATATCTCCTAAACCACTTAAGCTACAATACCCAAATTTGCCTAGCGCAAATATTATAACAGCTCCTCCCGACAGTGTGCAAACGGATGACATCGGAAGATAACCCCGCTCATTTCCCATATAACGGTACTGTTAAAAACTACTAAAAGCGCGATAAATTAATAACTAATACACCAGAGGAATCAAACATCGAGATGGTATGAGAAAGATTTATGGGAGCCGGAGTGAAATTGAACGATAGTTGTTTTTGGTGAAATCCCATATCTCGGGACCCAACCAATTAATTTCGGCAAAACTTAGGACATGGCATTATTTTTGGATGAAATCGGATAACATGACAAAAATGGGTTGAATCGAACCAATACTTTCCTTAGCCCCCATATACTTTGTACCGCATACATATATCGGCCAATACGTGAGTCATCATAGTGAAAATAAGAGACCGTGTTTTACTCATAATAGTGTTTCTTCGTGCATAAAGTAGATACATTTTAACGAAAACTTGACCTAGCTGCTATATAACTAATATCAGGATTTTCGAATATTGGCTTACTTTACTCTATATGATTGGTTTTACACTTTCAATTTTTCACTGGCTTTGATTTTTGCAGGTTGCAAGAGTATAAAATGTTCGGTTGCACCCGAACTAAGCCTTCCTTACTTATTATATTTCTGTTCACTGAGCCCTCTAATATTGAAATTGATTCCAATTTTTATTTGGAAATAATATATCACAATATAGGAGGAATGTTTTATAGTAGGCTGAATGCATTTTCTTGGGAATCGTTCAACCCGTCTGCAACGAACAGATTGATAACCAGAAGGCTTTTTTACGGGTTTCCTTTTTAACATTCCCATCGTATCATCACTACGTGGTTTCCGCAACTCTGCTTTAATCTCGGCTGAGTTTTTAAATCGGTTTTTGTTTTTAAATTGTTTTAAGTCAGAACGGCCTGCTTTTAAGTTACTGATAATTTTTCTTCCTGAAAATCTCTTCCCCTATAGTTTAGCAGTTTTACGATATTTTTCCAAAAAACATAGCTCTGAGCTTTAGTTAAAATGTATTTGTGCTGTAGCCAACGAAATAACAATAGCTTTTTGTGACAAAGAATGATACGTTTACTTGAACATGATATTTTTAGCAATGAAGTATAAAGCGAAAGTTTCCCTGCAAAGTCGTATGACCGCTATATTGGAATAATATCATGGATAGAGCTATGATTATTTTCCTGTTTCATTTGATGCTTTTCTCGCTACACAGATATGGGAAGCTTAGCGCACACTGCGTCAGTCGAGCGTATTTTGAGAGCGCAACGGTGGACAAAAAATTAAATATCTTCGGAATGGCATGAATGAACAAAGTTTTGTTGGCGGATTATTAATGGAGAACGTTTTCCGTGTTGGGTCGCATAATTTGCAATTTTTTTTAGCGTGAAGAAGGCATACAAAATTTTTAATTGTTTAAGAAAAATAGAATTAAAATAGTGTTATTTAAACAAATTGACAATAAAAAAATATTTATAATATAGCACGAACATTTTTCTTTTAGTAATAATGATGTGCTAATTTTCAAAAGTTTTCGTGTCACCTAAATTGACAGTTTGGTGTGGTTTTTGATCTGGAGGAATCATCGGTCCGTAGCTCTTTTGAAATGAAGTGTAAAAATCAACTACAAGACATGAGAACAAAACTTTGTAGTTAGTTAAATTGGTTTTAATTAAAGTTCAGTTGTAATTAAACTAATTTATTATATGAACTATAGCTGGGGTAATAAATTACGAATAATGATTGTTGTAAAAAAATTCAACATTTAAATGTATAGAGCAAATGGGGAGACATATTTTTTTTTGTTCCTTTGAATTTTGTCAAATTATGTTTGTGAATATCCTCATTTCTTTACAATGGATTAAAGGGCGATTTTTAGCAAAATTCTAGTACTATATAAAACTTTACTCTTAAAACACTGACAGACAGAAAGAACAAGTATAATTTAAGAATTGGCACAATAGTTTTTTGCAAATTACTATTAGAGAACTATTTCTACTTAAATTTACTGTTTTAATTAGGCTATAACCGGCATGGTGCCCGCGGAAGTAAGTAATGAAACAATGGTGACTGTAGCAGCAAAGATTTAAAATTATGAAAGGATTAATGAGTCAAATTAGTAAGTTTTTGTGTGCAATAAAGTTATTTGAGAGTTTTACAAATAAAAAAAAAATCGACTTCTTTCGCAACCCGGTGCGTACTGAAGTTCAAGTCATTGAAGAGTTGAAAAACGAATCTCACCTTGAAAATTTTGTAAACAAATAACATAACCCACAGGCTTCTACTTGTATGACGGGAAATACTCATTTGCTCCCCTATACTATAGTAGTCGCAGCTGTAGTGTTTAAAAACAACTGTTTGGTTTTGACGGCTGTTCGTTTTCTAATACTAGGATTCTAATAGTTGTACGTCAACGTACTACCTAATACCATAATTTTATTCTATTTACAATTAATTTTGTAGTTCTAACAAACAATTTGAGATGATAATTCCCTTAGCAATAATTTCATCTCCTAAGCCACAGTTGACAAAATTTGACAATGCAAAGTTTTTTTGGAGATATTTTATATTGAACATTCTGATTTTGACACTAAAATATCTTGATTACATACTTGTATTTATGAATTCTTTGCCACCAAGTGGACCACAAAATCTTGCTTCAATAATTCGAACATTTGTATTTTTTATTATAGTAATCCCAATACTGCAAAATACTCCGTTGGATATTGGACCAAACCAATTTTTTCGAGAGATTGAGTCATAAGTATAAATGTAACTGTAGAAAAAGTAATTGCTTCGTTTTTCGAAACCGAAAATTAATAATGATGTGTGAAACATGCAAAATTTTGATCTTCGAAGATAAATAATCCGATGATGGAGAAAAGTCTGGTACAATACAGGATAAAGTATTCTTTGTCGTATTCTAAATGATGGTATTTTTTTTGTGGAATCTCAATTTTTTTACTATTTGTTGTAATAGCCAAATTGCAATATAATATTGTTTCGCATATTAGTCATCTATTTTTGCGCCCTCTCTGCAGACACGGACCTCGAAATGAATTACGTCGAATGATGCTATTGTATAATTCAACTATTTTTCTTATTAAACATTTCCTTAGTTACCAATTGTATTCATAATGGAACATTCATCTGAAAATTTTAGAGTTTGTATTTTGTTTATTCGTTATAGGTCAAACCTCACATTATTTTATGAAAAACTTTTAAAAATATTTTAAAATTTTCGTACAACGAAAATGTCGCTATAATACAGCATATTACACTGGAAGAAATCAATAATTGTGAAATACAAAAACATTTACTGTTAATATATATTTAGTACACATTACAAAAGCAACATAATTTGCTGTAGTATGAATATATTTATAAGTCACGTATTTAATATAAGCTAATGTTTTGTTTACTAGATACATATACATAGTATGTTATATGCATTCGTTCATATATACAAAAAGTGCTGTCCTATGTTATCAACACTAGACATTACTAATTATACAAAAATTATTTTTCTTATTATCATATCGCTTATACATACACCATGGAACAAGTATTTAAACTTCCTTATCAAAAAGCAAAAATATTAACTTTGCGAGCACTATTTAGAAGATACAATAATACTATAAACACAAGAATTAAAACAAACACTTTTTCATTTATAATAAAATAAATTATCACATGATCTTTGAATATTACTCTCTGCGAAATCGTATATAAAGTGGTATATTCACTTATTCTGAGTAGTCCCATTTTGATTATTGGAAAAGCACCTCGCACAGACATGTACTTGAAACAGCTATTTTTTTTAAGTTGCATCGTTTTTTCGGTAAGGGTGTTTTTGCAAGAATTTAAAACAATTTACCGACTGTACGTTATCTTAAATAATTAAATAATGATTACATATTTCAGAGCGTCAGGGCTCGCTCAATACGCGAGGTTGCATCCAATCACGAAGTACCATCGATTTTAAATTTATTTGAGACTATTAATGAGAATTTTAAGAAATTTGGAGATACGGTTTCAAAATCATTTAATGCGCAGAAGTTTGAAGAAAATGGACGAGATGTTGCTAAACAATTAGATGAGTGGGGTGCAAATATCAAGAAAGAGGTAAATTTGATGAGTTAGTAGATCAATATTATTTTTCTAAACTTATTCTATTTATTTCAGACTGAAAACTTGAAAGATAACGAAGCTGTCAAGAGTTTAAGAGAATCAGTAGATAAAGCTCTGGAAGAAATCAAACAATCACCCGATGTAAAAGTCGTAATTGAAAAATATAAAATTGGGGCAGATGCGTTTTTAGCCAAAATAAACAAAATAAAGGAGACTGAAGAGCCGAAGTTGCAAGATCTTTCCAAGAAAATTTTGGAACAAACCACTACAACACTGCAGGATATCGCCAATATTTTTCAAAAAGATGTAAAGCAATAAATTAATACTTGAAAATAACTAATTTAAAGAATTGAAATATGATGAAATTTTAAACATGAGCTTCTTTGCGGAATGGTGAAGTTTCTTCTACAAAAATAAAAATGTTTACAGATATCACAAGATTGCTGAGAAAAGGTCTTTATAGTTCGGTGTCTCTTCACACACCGTGAATGGGTAAAATCAGATGATTTTTTCTATTTCTCATATAAAGGTTCTGTTGAAAATTACAAAAAGTACTTGGTATGTATCGGTTAATATTAAGATATTTTAATAAGTTTAATATTGGATATTCCATAGTTTAATGAAAAAAAATGTATATAGTCATTACACATATTCCCATATATAATAATTTTCGTTATTATAATATAGTTTATGTTGAACATCTCAATCAATATGTGAGCTATTTTCACAAAATTAGGTGAAACATTTTCCTGAGTATAATTCAGTAAAGGTATCTTTACGTTTACGTGTTTTTTTTTTTTTTTCAATAATGCCCGGTTTCACAGTCCATACTTATGTTTTACTTAAGATAAAACAGGAAAATAGCGTTTTATAGTTCATATGCTAAAGTACTCAAAAGGGGAGACTTAAGGAGTGCTTACATTCTTCTCTTCTTCTTGATTGGCGTAGACACCGCTTACGCGATTATAGCAGAGTTAAGAACCGCGCGCCAGTCGTTTCTTCTTTTCGCTACGTGGCGCCAATTAGATATTCCAAGTGAAGCCAGGTCCTTCTCCACTTGGTCCTTCCAACGGAGTGGAGGTCTTCCTCTTCCTCTACTTCCCCCGGCAGAGCTGGAGTGTTTTCGTCCATCCGGACAACATGACCTAGCCAGCGTAGCCGCTGTCTTTTAATTCGCTGAACTATGTCAATGTCGTCGTATATCTC